ATCGCCCTCGTGTAGCTTTGCGCGAAATTCAAAACAAACAAGCAAGCACTACAAAAACGTGGTATCGCAAAAGTTTTTTTTTCTCTCTTCTTATGTTGTGACACTGTTTTCTTCCTGTGTTGTATTGTACAGATATTATCCTTGATGTAGTTTATGTTAACAATTTACAATAAAAAACTCATTTATATTTCAAAAGGACGAAATTATTTTAATTAAAAATTAGAAATGTTTGATATACATTCACATGGTATACTATAGGCCTATTCCAGCGAGCTTGGTCTATAAATAGGCAGTTTGTGTGACATAACAATTGTAATAAGATTGATATTTTTCAGAAATCTTTCATTGCTAATTCAATATAGTATACTAGAAAGAAAAATATAACAGTCCCCAGGGGGGTTGGTGGTAAGTTTACGGACTTAACAGTGCTAAATCCTGGAGTTCGATTATCCACTGTGTTCAGTTAGCCCATTGTGTAGCTTTGAGCTAAAACAAACACAGAATATGGAAAACCTTGTGCGGGATTGAAACGATATTACATTCGTTTTACCGAGAAATCTTGTAGCGCTAATGAAGAAAGATTCGTTAACAATTATTATTTGTCTACAGTAATGTAATTTCACACAAACTACAAACCCTGGGTTTGTTATTAGTGTTTGATGAACTTTGCCGTTAATAAAATAACGAAAGTTGAAATTTTTCACACTAAAGCAGCTGCTTTTATGTTCTTTTTTCTTTTAAAATTTCATATAATAAATGTAAACGAGGTTTTGTAGGCCTAATAAAAGTGATTAAAATTTCCCATGATTGTATTTTTTAACGTTCCCCTTGATTTGACCTTTATGAACTTGGAATCCACCATCTGTAAAAAATAACATTTAAGATGTAAAATTCGTTTTCCAGACGTTCAATGTCAGCTGTACTGGACTTGTGACAACCACTAGGTGTACCTGATCGTATAATAGAAGAATGTGAGTTTGTTTGTTTGTTAAGCTACTCGAGGGCTACCCGCGTAAACCATCTTTTAATTTTGAAGTCATACACTAGAGGGAAGTCAGTTAGTCATCACTACCGACCTCCCATTCTTGGGCTACTTTTTACCAACGAAAACTAAGAATGACCGTCACATTATAACGCCCTCACTTCTAAAAAGGCGAGTATGTTTGGTGACATGGGATTAGGACCCACGACCTGTAAATTACATGTCGAGTGACTTAACCACCAGGTCAGAAGAATGTGTGTGTGTATGTGTTTTTCTTATTTCAAAGTCACATCGGGCTATCTGCTTTGTCCACCGAGGGGAATCGAACCCCTGAGTTTAGCGTTGTAAATCGATAGATTTACCGCTGTTCCACCGGGGGAACCCAGAACAATGTGAGACGTCAGCATTCCAAAATTATTTAAATCACTTTCGCTAGATTAAAAAAAAACAAAAAACTTTAAAGACTGATTTTATCCAAATTGTTTCTGTAGCCACCATTCATAAAAAAAAACAACAACACTGAATGGAAGACAGGTTATATCTATTGAATAGAAGCTGATTAAAGACATCTTACAAACTATCTAATTGGCCTTAACAAGAAGTTACTCAAGCAACACAATATGCTTGTTTGTAATTAAGCACAAAGCTACACAATGGGCTATCTGTGCTCTGCCCCCCCCCCCCCCACGGGTATCGAAACCCGGATTCTAGCGTTGTAAGTCCGCAGACATACCGCTGTGCCACTGGGGGGGGGCATTATGCTTGTATTGTTGGAGAACATGAAATCGAAATTTAAATTTTTTCTTGGATTTTTTTTTAAGCATTAAAATGTAAACAAAGGATTTACATAAAGTATTGTTCAGATGTTTTAGAAGCTACTACTACTGGGTAGTTGGGTGTGGTCTAATAGTTTGCATGCTTATTCATAGTAGAGTTCATAGTAATGGTACGTGGTCTTTAGCCGCAAAAATGTGCTCTGCACTTTAGAGCTGTGGATGGTGGGTATCCGATAAGAGTAGCGATTAACTCCCACTATTCGATCAGACAAGAGTAGCCCAACAGTAGACGGAAGGTGTGTTAACAAGCTGTCTTTCCTTTAGTTTCTCAATTCAAAAACTAGAGATTGCTATGTGCAGGTACCCTTTTGTGTATCTTTGCACGAAAATCGTGAAACTAATAAACAAATACTACTTAGATACTTTTCCTGAACATAAAGATCTTATCTATTCGACAACTTAGGAATAATGCTGAAAAATTAAGTAACAACGAAAGCTGCTTTTTAACACGACTTTAAAAATTTCACGCGAACTATACAATTTTAAGACGACAGTGTAGAATATCATCTCAGCTGGAACAGGCAAGAGACGACATTCATGATGACTCATGGGCTACAGTGAAGTTTCGATAAATAAAACACATGTTTCATCTTTTTTCTTCGCATCCGGACTCTCTCCCCTAGCACACACACACACACCCTATTAAAATGGGAAAATGCTTTCCACATGTGTTTCGCTGTATATTGTTTAAGGTTAGATTATACGCGACTGTAAGGTTGTGAAGAAGCTTGCGTTTTGTTTATTTTCTGGTGTTAACTGTAAAAAAATAGATTTACTTCAATAACAAAACTCAGTCTTTATGAATAGATTTACTTCAATAACAAAACCCAGTCTTTATTAACAGATTTACTTCAACAACAGTATTCGGTCTTTATTAACAGATTTACTTCAACAACAGTACTCGGTCTTTATGAATAGATTTACTTCAATAACAAAACCCAGTCTTTATGAATAGATTTACTTCAATAACAAAACTCAGTCTTTATGAATAGATTTACTTCAATAACAAAACCCAGTCTTTATTAACAGATTTACTTCAACAACAGTATTCGGTCTTTATTAACAGATTTACTTCAACAACAGTATTCGGTCTTTATTAACAGATTTACTTCAACAACAGTACTCGGTCTTTATTAACAGATTTACTTCAACAACAGTACTCGGTCTTTATTAACAGATTTACCCTAACAACAATATTTCAGTAATAAAATGCCGTCTTGTTTAGACAGATTATACAATAGTCATGTACTTTAATGTTATTGTTGTTCGTTATTAAGCACAAAACTACAGAAAGGGCTACCTGTGCTCTGCCCACCACGGGTATCAAAACCTGGTTTCTAGCAGTATAAGTCCGCAGACATGCCGCCGTGTCACTGGGGGGTTGTACTTTAATATCAAGTTTTATTCACACCATACAAAGACTGCGTTCTCATAATTTCTTCAAACAAAAAGTCGCTTATTGTATTTTCAAACGATATACATTCTTTATTTGTCCCTTAGTTAGTGTTCTCAAACTTTCTCAACATAAGCTCCCCCTACAACATTCCGCATCCTAACTGAGGCCCTCTCTTAAGTACCTGAACATTTTCCTGTATCCCTCAGTTTGGAAACTCCTATTTTAAAGTTTTTCCGAAAAATAGTGTATTATAGTATTTTAACTACACCCTGTCCCGCCAGGTACATAGTGTGGTTGAAATACCGTTATACTCTCTTGTTTTTTATAGAACAAAAAACAACCCTAAAGGACGTAATAATGAATGTGGTGCTTATAATACAGTAAGCCCAATGATATTGTCTTATAACATATCTAATTGATTATAATTTTACTTTTCTAGCAAATGGTGTTCAGACCATAACAAGTATTTCGGTCAGAGTAACTTAATCCACTCTTCCAAAATTTTTGCTCGTGTATCTTACTTTTAAGCCAACAACAAATAACCTATATTAACAACACTTTTAGTATTTGATTCGTGAAATTAAAGAACAATGCTTGGTTTGAAAGATTATTATTATTATTATCATTGTTGTTGTAGGGGTCAGTCACCTTATGACGCGTTTCAGATGAACGGTTGGTAATATTGTGGTGTATCAACTAAGCATTAAAAGGTTTTGTTTACACACACTTACACCTAACTTTCGACAACGGAATATACCTTTTATGAAAGCCGGAGATAGATGTTATGTACGTATACACACTAAATTACACCGATACACATGCTTTTCCAACACACGTAAAGAGTAAGGTTGAGAACGACGTTTCATGTCACGTCATACAGCTCATGGTAACAATAATTCTGCTAACTTTTCGTGAAAATCCTAACTTTTGGCTAAAAAAACCTTGTTGATCTGTCGTACTGCTTCCAAGGTTAGAATAAACTTATCTTCATTTATTTGTTGGGTGAGGCGCGTGGCTCGTGACCGGCACGTTCACACTCCGGCAAAGACTTTGAAATTGGCGCGTGTCAATCCCTGCGTGAAACCAAACTGGGGCATAGAAGGAGGAGGAGGGAGGGGAAAGGGTGCGAAACTAATTATAGGACTTATTTCCGAAATAAACCATTCACACACTACAAGCACAGTTGTAACGTTACACCTAGCCCTAGTTCTCGGTTCGCAGCAGACGGCTTTCATATTTGGCTGTGAGACGGAAAAACAGAAATAGCTACAGTTCACCCCCTCGCCCGCTGTGCCTAGCCTCAGAGCCCCTATGTCCATATATGGACGAAGTACTAGGGCGCCGCTACACTCTTTTCCTTTCATAGTGTGGAACTCACGCTTGGATGCGGGGAAAAGCATGCGCGACGTCCCCCGAGGAGTACCCATGACGTCATGCAGAAGCTTGGCTCCCGTGAGGTACAAAATGAGTAGCTCTGGCGGAGCCTCGGTCATTCTGAGACGAGCTCACGTCGAGAAGGAGTACTTTGTTAGTGTGACGTTTGTTGGAAGGGAACTACTGTTTAACCGGTAGGCAGAACCGTGCTTGTGCTTGAACCTACTTCGGATTCTATGATAAATTAAGGAAAAAAATTTAAATTAATCTAAAAGTCAAAATTTCCGAGAATTTCATTATCTCTTGCTTCCTATTCTTACGGATACGACTATTATCTTTGGCTTGTTAACAATTGAAGTCCAGATTAATGATAGAACTCTGAAGGGTTAAGTCCAGGCACATCGTCTAACAGAAGCTTTATTTTGTATGCTAGGAATCTTTTGGAGATACTATGTAAATTGTTTTTAAATATGAAATTGTATGAAATTATCTTGAGTAACATTTGTCCTTAGAGGCAAAGCAGTTTTGTTATGCTTTGGTTATTTTGACAGGGCTGAGTGACATAGAGAACAAACCTACCTTGAAAATGGTAGATTTTACTGGCTTTTCTTTTGTAAAAAATTAAATTATAATATGGTGTGGCTTTTTAAATTGTGTTAATTCTGTGGGGGTTACACCCCTTTATCCTAAGAGTCCAGGGTGTCTTCCCTTCATTTCGGGTAAGGCTTAATATTAATTGAACGTAACGTAGACCCTGCCCTTTCGCAAGCCTGACCCAAAACGTATTTATGTTTAAAAAAAAAATCACTGTCTTGCTTTAGTGCCGCTAAATATGGAATACTTTTTACAAGATTTACTGAGAAATAATAAATTTTCAAACTTAAGTTAGATCGACTAACTTCAGGACGTGTCTCATTTAGCATAAATGCTGACTTCATAATTAACAGCCGAAGTAAACCAAACATTTTCGCGCAGTCGTGGATGTAGTGAGTGATACCAACGGACTTTACCCCTACCATTCAAAGTGCACTGCACGAACTTGGCTCACGTGTAAGACGATAGAACTATTTCCGGTGGCATCTCCCCCGCCGATGTGGTTTCGCATGGGGTATGCCCATCTAGGGGAGCATCGTATGAACATGCCTATAAAAGTCCACGTGAAGAATTAGTTTGCGTCTAAATAGGATAGGGGGAGGGGGAAGCATTCCCCAAGAAGCCGTTATTTTTTTTTTACAATACGTCACTGTCTAGCAGTGTAACTTTGGTAACGTTTACTTGTTGGAGTTTATATACTGTGAGGATTGTTTAAAACATTGAATTATTTTTGTGTGTGTAGTCTTCGATCTTCATTTGACTTCATTTCTCTTTCACAGTAGCTAATCATGTGTGACGACGAGGTTGCCGCTCTTGTTGTTGACAATGGTTCCGGAATGTGCAAAGCCGGATTCGCCGGAGATGACGCCCCTCGTGCTGTGTTCCCTTCCATCGTGGGACGTCCACGCCACCAGGTACGTTCGTAATAAGCTTTTATTTCGGTGAATTTCAAAAATACCAGAATTAGAAACGAAGAAATAGCCTTTTTTGAAAAAAAAACTATGTAGAAATGAATCGGTTTTTGTTGCAAACGACTTGTAACGTGAACGGTCGACTTAGTTTGCTCAAACAATTTCTATATAAAACATTTCTGGAGGGGACGCGGACGTATTGGAACACAAATTTAATAAAATCTCTACTACCAATCGTAGTTTTACAACTCTTAAGTTTAGAAAAATGTTTGTTAACAAATCCGGAAGAATAATGATCAACTATTTGTGCTTTAAGTTTAACAAGTTCTATTTCTCTACTAGGGTGTGATGGTTGGTATGGGACAGAAGGACAGCTATGTCGGTGATGAGGCCCAAAGTAAAAGAGGTATCCTAACCCTGAAGTATCCCATAGAACATGGTATCGTCACTAACTGGGATGATATGGAGAAGATCTGGCACCACACCTTCTACAATGAACTTCGTGTGGCCCCTGAGGAGCACCCTGTTCTCCTGACAGAAGCACCCCTTAACCCTAAAGCCAACAGGGAGAAGATGACCCAAGTATGTCGGATCAATAATTATTAATGGAGTTTGAACTTTAAAAAAAAAACTTGTTTCTTATTCTCCTTTAAACCTATACAAGTAAGATTCACAAAATTGGTGATACTAAAAATCATTTTTATAAATTCTAAAAATATTGCTGCAGCCATTTTATTTGATGTTTTTTTTCCGTGACAGATCATGTTTGAGACCTTCAACACCCCAGCTATGTATGTAGCTATCCAAGCTGTCCTGTCCCTCTACGCTTCCGGTCGTACCACCGGTATTGTGTTGGACAGTGGAGATGGTGTTTCTCACACAGTGCCCATCTATGAAGGTTACGCTCTTCCCCATGCCATCCTCCGATTGGACTTGGCCGGTCGTGACCTTACTGACTACCTGATGAAAATTTTGACCGAACGTGGCTACAGCTTCACCACCACGGGTACGTTTCTGATCCCTTGCAAGTCATTGCCATAATTTGTTAAATCAAGTCTCTTTCTAACTTAAAACCTCGGATACAAGCCCACTGAAGAGATTAATACGGTTACCTATGTAACCGACACTAATTCCCCTACCTCCTCTCCAAAAGAAAAAAAAATCTTTCACACTAAAAGGAATCATTATCACATAATGCCTTAAATGAACAATACCTTTATACACCTTACGCCTATTGCTTTTAATGGTAGCTGCAAATGCCGGAATACTTTTCAAATATGTATAATCATTTCAAAGAGATTACAGAAACCAAAATTTATCACTGTTTGAATTGTTGTTGTTTTTTTTCATATAGCAGCTTCTTTTTCCTCTTCAGTATGACGGCTTCCTTTAACAATTTTTTCTGTCTTCTTACACTGACAGCTGAGCGGGAAATCGTTCGTGACATCAAGGAAAAGCTCTGCTACGTCGCCCTGGACTTCGACCAGGAAATGGCCACTGCTGCTTCCTCCTCCTCCCTTGAGAAGTCCTACGAGTTGCCTGACGGCCAGGTTATCACCATTGGTAACGAGAGGTTCCGCTGCCCCGAAGCCCTCTTCCAGCCTTCCTTCTTGGGTATGGAGTCTTCTGGTATCCACGAGACCACCTACAATTCCATCATGAAGTGCGACATTGACATCCGTAAGGATCTGTACGCCAACACCGTTCTGTCTGGTGGCACCACCATGTACCCAGGTATCGCCGACAGGATGCAGAAGGAGATCACTGCTCTCGCTCCTAGCACTATGAAGATCAAGATCATTGCTCCCCCCGAGAGGAAGTACTCCGTCTGGATCGGCGGATCCATCTTGGCTTCTCTGTCCACCTTCCAGCAGATGTGGATCTCCAAACAAGAGTACGACGAGTCTGGCCCCAGCATTGTCCACCGCAAGTGCTTCTAAAGAGTGGGGGTTTATTTAGTCACGTGATTCTCGCTTCTCTTGTATTAATCTTGACGTCCCCTCAGCTTTCGTTTGGATACACTCCCCCAAATGATCCGGGCTGGTATAGAAACCCTGGATCAGGGACTCTTACCGTCAACCAGAGACTCGGGAATTACACCAACTGTAGGCCAAAGATTCAACTTCTCATAACTACCCACTGGTCATTTAGCCCAGCAAATATATTTATTAAACATCCGAATCTCGATCACTTAAGACTGCTTTTTTTTTCTCTGTAAAAATAAAGTTTAATAAAAATTTGGGGAAGAAAATTACTTGGGTGACTGCATTTCGTCCAGTATTTATTTATTTTTTTCCCATGTCTGACTTTTTTTTTTTCTTCATTCTTACGCTAGTTCAAATAATTTGCTTTACGGTATTCGAATTATTTTATTTTTTCAAAAAGTTATACAAATTGTGTAAACTATGTATCATAAATATTTGTGTTAACATTATGAATAAAAAAAAATGAATCGTATTAAAACAGAATTCTGTAGTTTCTTACGTCCCGAATTAGATATTGGCTTTGTACGCCTTTATTTTCGGGTATGATGAAAATAAAGAGGAGATTTAAGTTTACAAAAATTGTTATTACGTCAGTAACAGACCATTTTCATTGATTACTCTTGCATTATTGAACTTTCAAATTCTGTATCAGTAGTTCATCATTTACGATAAGTTGTAATTAGCTAAGTTTAATGCAGTAGTAGAGTAATTATAAATAAACTTGGACTCTAAACTATAAATATGACTATAGAGCGCCATCTACTGAGATCTTAATAAATAAAGCTGAAAATTTTATTTTGTTTTGGAACATCCTGATTACTTTTTTTTTTTTTTCTTTTGGGGTAAAAAAAAGATTATGAACATAATAAGATAACTGTATAAAAAGTGAACATTACAGTTTGAGTGCAAGTTACATCCGTTTCTTGAAATCGCAAATATAAAAACGGATGTGTTACTTTGTAACTCCAAGGTTTCTCTAATCCCAAGATATGACTTAATCGTAAAATCAAAATCAACCATTTTGACGTTTTAAGAACATAATCACAATTAAATAATAATGATAAACTATAATCAAAAATAAGTTTTTGTAAATTTTTGTTGCTAAGCACAAAGATCCGCAAAGGGGCTATCTGTGTTCTCCCCACCACGGCTATCGAAACCCGCATTCTAGCAGTAGAAGGCCACTGGAGGTCGCTTTTGTAAATAGTAACGAAATAACGGTATGTATTATAAACAATTTTTCGATTGAAAATTTTTATATTTTAAGAGAACGTTTGGACGTAAATCTGACAAATATACCAAAAATCTCTCTCTCTGACAACAATGAGATAAAACTCCTGGCTCTAGGAACTTCGAACGACCTGAGCAAATTCCTGAATTTATCAATATTTATTTTGGACACATTAAAATATACTGAATAATTATATCGTGATTTTTAGGTTACATTGACAAAATGAAAATAACTTCTTTATTTCCTGTCGGCGAGAAATAACTGCTTACCGAAAGTCTGAATAGGTCTAGCTTGATGACGTCATAGAATTTTCCTTATATGGATGTGCGTCAAATTCCGTATCCGTTGTAATATAATGCTTTTTAATCTAAGAGTTTATAAACTTATAGCCATCAAGAAAATAAAATCTTTTAAACAGAAAAAAATTATGTTGGAATATCTGAATTCGATATTTTTCGACCGTTTCTCAAAGCACAAACTCTTGAAAATAACGTTCTTTGCATTAGTAATTTAAAAAAAATAATAATTAGATAGACAACTGCACCCCAGGTGGCTAATGAGTGAGTCTGAGAGCTTATAACGCTAAAAATCTGGTTTCGATACCCGTATTAGGCAGAGTACAGTTTTGTGCTAAACAACAAAAGAACACTATTAATAAATAGTTTATTGCTAGAATTATTGTGTACATCGTTTCTTTAGAAGCCAACACAAAATTTTCGTTTGATGATTATGAAATACGCAGGTCCTTTAATATAACGCTCCATTGCTATCTTTATTGAGATAACAAAATTTAATAGTTCTTCAATAATTAAAATGGAAAGTGCTGCCATCTAATGGTATAAATTAACATTACATTTCTAATATGCTTGTAACATCTTCAGCCCCACGATGGATCAGCGGTTAGTTTACGGACATACAACACTAAAATCCAAGGTTCGATTCCACGTAGTGGAGAGAGCGCAGATAACCGATTGTGTAGTGCATTTATTAAAGCAACAATGACACTCCCAACTATTACTCTTTTTGGGGGGGCTAACATTAATAGGCACTACACGGATCTAATTATTGAAATTTCTATTAAAATATTATGGTTGAGAAATCTTTTACTGAATAAGATAATACCAATAGAAAGAAACAAGTATTTTTTCTTAATTTTTTCTTCATCTATTGAGAGATAACTGAACTTCCAAGTACTTTTTCTTAATTTTTTTCTCTAATCTA